AAAATAATGCTCATAGGGGCTGGGGATTTAGCTCAGCAGCTAAGCGCCTGCCTAACAAAGCAGGTTGTGAGTTCGATTCCTGGTACTGATTTAAAAAATAATGCCCATCAAACTATTCCATGAAAAAGAAAAGAGAGGAACTTTTCTAAACATATTATACAAAGTCAATATCACTTTGCCACCAAAAATCTGATAAGTAAAAAGCAGACAGGCAGATAGAATACAAAAGAAGAAAACTATCAACACCTAGACCATATTCCTGATGCATATTGATACAAAAATTCTCAATAAAATACTTTCAGGTTTAATTCAGTAACACATTAAAATGATTATATGCTATGATCAAGTGGTTTAATTTCAAAAACAAAATTGATATAACATAGCAAATCATACTCTGGTTTCTCTTTAGACTGTACAAGTCTTTTGTCTTTTAACTTACATGAGTCAATAAGTATAAATCACTAGTTAAGTAAAATCAAGGATAAAAATCACATGATCTCCATAAATGCAGAAAGCCTTCAATAAAATTCAACATCCCTCTTAATTAAAACCCAGAATAAATTAGGTAAAGAAAAGCCATACCTCAGTGCAGTAAAACTATGGGCAGTAAACATAGTCAATATCATATTGAGTGAGAGAAAACTGACAGCTTTTCCCATAAAATGGATAAGGAGGCTGAGGTGCCTGCTTTTACTACTCTTGTTCGTTATAGTCCTGGAAATCTTAACCAGAGCTTCGAGGCAAGAGAAAGGAATTTAAAAAGTATAAATAGGAAAGGAAGAACTCAAATTATCCCTGTTTGCCCATAATATGATTCTATACCTAGAAAACCTTGAAGGGTCCACTAAAATTTTCTTAGAACTAACAAATTTAGCAGTACAGCAGAACATAAAATCAACATAAAATAACTGATGGCTTTCCTATAGACTAAAATAAAACCTCAAAATAAATAAGAAAAAAAGTACAACACAGGAAATTAATGAGAAAGACTTCTAAAACAGAAATGATAAAAAAAACCTGAAGAATTTGAAGAAGACATTAGAAGATGGAAGGCCTCACATGTTTAGGTCTGGGTAATTAATAATGTTAAAATGACTATACTTCCCAAAGTGACATACAGTCAATGCCATCCCATCAAAATACTGAGGTTGCTATGTACAGAACTAGCAAAAACAATCCTAAAATCCAAATGGAAACTAAAAGATCACCAATAGCCAAAGCAATCAGGAGCAAAAAGAGCAAAACTCAAAAGTATAAAATACCCTCTTTCAAAATTTACCAGAGAACTTTGCAAAAAAATGGTGCAGTGCTGGAAAAAAATGTAGACGCAATAGAGCACAACAAGGACTCAGGAAAAATCCCACAGAACTATAGCCTAATGCTAAGCAAGGCACCTAGGAGTGGTGTGGGGAAATAACAAAGCTTATTTGAAAAAGGATTCCAGGAAAATTGGATATCTATATATGGAAGATTGAAAGTGGATCTCTGTCTCTCACCCAGGAGAAAAAGTTACTCTAAAAGGGTCACAGACTTAATGTGAGACCTGAAACTTTCAAACTAGTAGAAAGCAACATGGAGAAGATTTCCAAATATGTGCACAGGCACATATAGGATTAATAGTATCCCAGTAGTTTGGGAAATAATAGACTCAAATGCAGTTGCATCGAATTAAAAACTTCTGCGCTGCAGAGGGAACAGTTAACAGGATAAAGAGATAGCTGTGGAGAGGGAGAAATGACTTCTAGGAATTCTTCTGATGGAAAGTTAATGTCCAGAGTATATAAAGAGCATAAAATATTTCACACCAAAAGAACAAGTAACCCAGTCAATGAATAGACAAATTAACTGGCAGACACTTCTCAGAACTGTAAATATACCAACTGTAAGTATACCAAACAGCATTCCACATCTGTAACTATCAAGGAAATGCAAATGAAAACTGCACTGGGTTTAGAGATTCCCAGGATCCCACTCCAGTCAGGATAACTGTCTGCAAGATCATGAAAAAACAATTCTGTGAGGAATGTAATTTAGTACAAACACTATGGATCTACATGGAGGTTTCTCAAAAAAATTTAAACGATCCCATGATCTACCTACATCCTTCCTTGGTATATATGTGAAAGAATTAAAGTCAGCACATTATAGCTGCATAGTCTGTTTTTTCATAGCACTAGTCATGAGGGGTAAGGCATGGAATCAGCGGACACACTCAACAAGTGACTGGATAAAAAAATGTGATGCCTATGTCTAATGAAACATGGAGAAGGATTGCAAGTCTGAGCCTAGGCTGGTCAGCATGGCAACTTAGTAAGACCCTACATCAAAATAAAAAATAAAAAAAATGAATGTGATGCAACTCAGTAGAAAGGCCTGGTACTGAGGAAAAATGGAATCAAGTCATTGCAAGACAATGCATGACACTGTAGAGCATTATGTTAGGCAAAATAATCCAGACTGCAAAAGCCAAGTCTCACACTCTCTCTCATATGTGGGCTCTGTTATAAAAGCTGGCATGGAAGAAGATGGGACACTTGTGGAGAAAAAGAAAGGGGTCAGAGGGAAGAGTGAGGGAGGCAGATGGGGGAGGAATGATCCAAGCAAGTCCTACGCATGTACAAAAATGAAAACAAAACTGTGATCACAGCGGGCAGAGCCAGATAATCCAAGATTATCTCCCCAAATCAGGTCCTTAATCACATCTGCTGATCCATTTTTCCACAAAGGTCACAGGTCCTAGGGGATTTATACGTTGACATTTTTGGCGGTGTGTCCAGAATCAGCTTACACTATCCCCGATCTATGCACCACTGAAAACTCTTCTAGTGGACTCCTGGGTGTTAGGGTCCCTATTTCCATTCAGGTTTGCTTTCCCACACAATAACTGCATCCACCTTGCCACTGACAGTTAAGTGAAACCACCCAGCCTCTACTATGACAGAAGCTTATCTTCACGACGACTCTGAGGAGCTTGCCCATGGCAGCGTTCCTGATAGTGCACTTGGCCTAATAAGAAGGGGTCTCTGAGCTTCTCAGCTACGCCAGTGCCGCACACGAGCAATATCCTTTGATTTGAAGATTAAAGAAGTGTTCTCTGGAATCTCCTGGGAAGTATATTTAATGACATCTCTAGTCTTAAGTATTAAATCAATGTAAGGTCTTCTGAAGCCTCTTTCTGTTTTCTCAAGAATCTGACAAGTCTACCTCTTACACTAACTGGCCAATGCCCACCCAAGTTTATGAAATCCATCCCAGCACAATCCCAAGACATTGAAGGCATCACATTCTAGCTTACTGGAGAGTTTTCCTACGTGACCCAACTGCCTTTTCCAGCCTTAACTGATGCCCTTCCACCATCCACTTGCTGGAGAGATCCTCCAATATGTAAACTGGGTTGCAGTCTGCACACAACCCCTGATGTTGCAGAATTTTTGGCAAATAACTCCTTTGCTTCCAAAAGAAGAATGACACATTCCCAGTTGGGCTATGCTGAAATTTGACCCTAGCTTTAAGTCTATAAACTAGAAAAGAGTAGGGCCAAGTCACAATGAAGGCAGCTACCATGTGTGAGGTGTCTAGAGATCACTGCATGTGTGGAGGCAGTGAGGTTGGCTGCAACCCTTCATGATGGTGAGCGAGTGACTTCAGGAGGCCCAGATGCTTGAGTAGAGTACAAGCAACTGAGCACCTCCACACAGAGGTCTTCATTTGTCTTCAGGTTCCCACTTCTTCTCTAAAAGTGTCTGGAGCTTACTATAGTAAATTCAGCAGGTCTGTGTAGTACATTTTCTCTGTTACTCACATGATCAGGCCCATTTCCAGCTTTCACTGCTCTCTGGCTCTACTAGACATATATACCCTGGAGGTTTTCTTCATTTTACATTGTGCCTTGAGTTGATGATTGATGACTTGGGCTCAGTATTTTTATTTAAGAAAATTGTACTTATAATCAAAATACCATTTGTGCAGTATTTTAAAATGACAACCATAGCCACCATTTCTCAAATGATACAAATAGTCTACGAACTCACTACAAAAGCTTTGCCCTGTATCCTACCCCAGCTCGCTACATATCAGAGTCCTAGTTAGTGATGGTTTCCAGCATGCAGAGCGCTGTCACATCCCAATAACCACCACCAATGGAGACTTTCATTGCTATTTGGCCAAGGAGTGGTCCAATTCAGGAATCTGTCTTAGGCTGTATGCCACAGACCCATTCTAGTAAAAATCACTTTCATTCCAGCTCCCTCAAAGCAGAGATAGATAAGGACCAGGTTCTGAGAATGGGTAATTACTTTTGAATTATTTACTATACTGTAAATGATGATGTTTTTATTTAAAAGTTTGATGATATGCATGCTATTATTTCATAATTATTTTAAAATTATTTCCCCTGTATGTTACATAAAAAGACAAATTCCAGATAGATGATAGAGTAAAGGTAAAGGTAAAGGAAGTAATACTTTAACGGTACCAGGTTCAGTTAGAACAACCACGTTAAAAACAACAGCACAGTCTTTGTTGCTGAGCCGCACAAGCTCACAGGCTGTTTGAAAGTGTGCAGAGTTCAGACTTTAATTACAGAAACTTCCCATTGTCCTCACCACTGTGGTTGCTGGCTCAGTTCCACCTGCTGTTGGAATTTCTAATGTGAGTTCTGTGAAAAGCACGGCCCTCCCTCCCAGCTTTGGGCTCTGCCTCAGCCACTCTGCCTGCAGAAGACTGCCTGCGTTATTCTTGTCTGTCCGGGACGTCTGCCTCCCCTGGGGCCATGTCCGTGCCCCATGTTGCAGTGGGCAAACTGAGTGTCTCTGCCTCTGGAACAGAGGTGGAGTTTGCAGACTGAGACTGAATGCTCATCCTCTGCCACTGTCAGAGGTCTTCCTGGCCACCCTTACCTGGTGTTTTATTTTGCTTGCTTCAAGCTCATTTACATGTAATCTGTGTTAGAATACCCAGTCCCTCTCAGATGTCATCGGACATGCAAATACAGACAAATGATTACTCAAAGTAGTTTATTTTTATTACCAATTTTAATCACCAAAGAAGTTTAAGTTCAACCAAGTAAATTATTTATAGACAAAAATTTATTGATAAAATAATTTATGAAAGATTCATGAACAAATTAAAAACCTGTGAAAGAAAAATTTTGTCAACCAAGATGATAAAAAGGATGCCTGTGGGTAAGGAAAGGTTTCTGTTTGGGTTTGGCTACATTAAGCAACATCACTAAAACTCAGGAGTTACTTCACAAAGGGAAACTAGGATGTAATGTTTCAAGTCACATGAAAGGCTACTGTGAGACAAGCGTCATGGGGGGCAGGTGACCCCATTTCCTCTGCAGGCTTATTCACTGTGATACCTGTAACCACATCTTCATTTGCTTCCCCACTTGGATCTGTCTATTCTGTTTGGCTTCCACGACCTGGAGATCATTCCATTTCACACGCATGATCTGTGATTTCAGCGACAGCTTTCCTTCCTGGCGTGGCCTCACTGTTTGCTGGACCCTCTGGCTCTGTGCCCCGACCTTGGGTGGCGGGTACTCTGAGTCCCTCTGGCTCCCTTCCCACAGCAAGCAGGGACTCTGAACTACAAAATAAGATACTGTTCAAAAATGTTTCCACTTTCTTTCAAATATTAAAGTAAAAATGCAATATTCTAGTTTTCAGATCTGGGGATTTCTCCGTTCACTGAATAACTGACATCTAGTAAGGAGGAGATTGTGAGTTATTTTGTGTGTCATGTAAAAATATCTTGAAAACTGATACCAGCATTGAATGAAAAGTTTTCCTATGAGCTCCTTTTCTTGAGGGATGGGTCTATTATAACCTTTTGGCCCTACTCTAGAATTTCTGGGTTGCAAATTCTATTAGATGTTTATCCATAGTTAGCATTCTGTTTACTTGGGAGAACTTTTATCCTGGAGGTACATGCTCATATGTTTTTTGTTTTGGAGAAACTGTTAGAAGGCTGCTTATGTAAATGATTGCTGGGTATCAGTAGTTACTTTATAGACACTCGATTTAAACTTTCAAGCAGGACCAAAATAGAGTCAAAATTTTTACTGGGGATGGATTAAGATTGCTCCAGAGAGAAAATCTCTAATTAGATGAGGCAGTGCAGAATCTGTGTTGAATCATCAGAAATGGTAGGCCAGGGAGGGTTTGGCCATGGGGGTAGACAGGAAAAATGGGGACATCACTCACTGCTTCTCTCTCTCTCTCTCTCTCTCTCTCTGGTTTGTAAATCAGGAACATGTCTTGTCATGTGTCTGTTGGAAAGGCTGGAAATAGACAAGTTTGAATCAGAGCAGCAAGAGCCAAGTTGGTCTGAGGGAAAGATGTTAAAACAAGAAATGTGTCACCCAATCCCTGCTCTAAATGAGTGTCTAGGAAGCTTCCTTGCTAATCCAACTATGATAGGTCAGGGAGCGAGAGTGAGTTTTCTTTCAGCTATAATAGATTTTATTTCAACTGTAATAGGTTAGGGGTCAGTGTCTCTTTTAAACAACCTTCTCACTCTGTTTTTGAAAAGCATGGGTCTAATGGTGTGGCTGGTGACTTCACTGGCAGCTGGAACCCAGGCTATTCGTGGAATCACCATAGTCCGATTAGTTTTTCGGGGCCAAGGGTAAGCTCCCCACCATGGGCCCTGGGGTAATCTATCACAAAGCTAGCTGGTACTTGAGTGTAGTGGTGTGTTAATGGTAGGATGTCTAGAGGGCAAGATGACTTCAGTTGGAGGGTCCTGGACTATATATATATATATATATATATTTTTTTTTTTTTTTACTCTGTGAAGCATCAGAATTCCTATTCTGAAAAAAATCTGTCTATGAGGGGATGGCCTTGGTTTTCTTTGTGTCATTCACAGAGGTTGAGGGGTAGCTAAGAATATATCCTTCTGGCAAATCATGGTATTGTATTTGGTAGGGAGAATTAAGAATCCATGGAAAATGAGGTGATTAAAAAAAGAACAGCTTACAAAGTGCTTTCACATACATTTTCACTTGATTTTCATAACAACCTTGTGAGGTAGGTACAGTATTGAATGATTTTGTTTTGCAACAATAAAGACCAAAGACCAGAGTATTTAAGTGATTTGCCCACAGTTCGCATATGTGCCAGGACCCAAGCTTAAAGTCAGAGGACTTTACCTGGTAGACATCTATGGTCCCAGTGTCAGAGTCATCAGCTTGATAACAAACCAGAAAAGATGCACAGTAAGTGAAAATCTAACCTGTTTAAGAGTCAGGTGGTTGGCTGGGGATTTAGCTCAGCAGCATAAGCACCTGCCTGGCAAGTGTGAGATCCTGAGTTCAACCCCCAGTAAACAAACAAACAAACAAACAAACAACCTCCCCCCCCAAAGAAAAACCAGAGTCAGGTGGTGGAACTGGGGATTTAGCTCAGTGGTATAAGTGCTTGCCTGGCAAGCTCAGAGTCATGAGTTCAATCCCCGGTACCAAAAACAAAACAAGAGTTGGCTGGTTTAAGAAATAACACATTAGCAACTACACTCAACTAGGGTACAACTGGCCAGTTTCCACCATGGACCACTGCTTATTGGCTTTAATCTTGTGGGTTGCTTTGGTGTTTAAAAAGATAATCTGTGAGCCACCCTGGGTGACCCAGGAAAAGAGACAAGGGCTTCTCATGGCTATCACTACACTGCTCTAGCATTCATTTGGGTATTGAATTACCCAACTTCCCCACTGCAATGTAAACTTCTTAGGCCAATGTCTGTGACTTATTTATTGTATTCCCAGAACTTAATATAATGTTTGGCACATAGTAGCTCCAAAATAAAAATCATTTGAGTTCACAAGGAGTTAAGTTTTTGATGTGGTGCTTCCCTATTTTTTTTGCAAGTGATTATTTGCCTGGAATGTATATTTTATATGAATGTGGCAATGGAACTAACGATAATTTGCTTATCTTGATGGTGGGTAGTACACATAGGAATTGCAATTTTAAGGGGTATTAACGTCATCCAAGTGATCTTTGTTTACAATGACAAATCTACTAGGTATGGATTCAAATCAGAGGCTCTAAGAATCCATGCAAAAAGTATGTGTTTGAGGGCTACTGCAGGTGAAGACAGTGTCCAATGGCATTGAGGAAAGTAGCCCATTTTGTAAATACGAAGATAATACTGTTTTAGTAAAATGGAGAGAATTTTGTTACAAAAAAACCCAAATGATTAAACACAACCACAACTGAGTCAATAAGGGTTGAAGAGGTCACTGTCTTTTTCTAAGTACTGCCAAGGCACGTTCTCCTTGGTCTTCTACATCTCCCTGGATCCTTGACCATCAGACATCCCAAGAGCCAGAGTTGAGATTGTGAATTCTGAACAGGTAGAAGCTATGGGTGAAACTGAGATGGTTCAGACTGAGATCTCAGGGTGAGTGCTCTTGACCAGGGTGTATAGGCAAAAAGTCCACCATGTAGAAGCATCTCTCTCGGGCTAACGGGCTAGCGCAGGCAAGACCCATTACCTGGGGCCGAAAGCAGCGGTCCTGTTGTTCTTCTGCCAGTTAATTCACAAACTGGTGAATTCAGCTTCCATGAATGGAAGAGGACTCTCTAATGGAGGATAGTACATAGTAGATCAGCTCACCAGTTTTGGGTATTCAGGATCTAATGGGTCCTGGAATCAAGAAGTGGGAAAGAGATCAGAGGTGCTGGTGCCGCTGGAGGTTAGGGGTCATCCAGGGGTCCTCCCAGTTGTGCCGATTGGTGCAGACCCTGGCTGGGTGCCTGGCTTCTCCAGGTATTGCTGCCAAGTTTCAAACAGGGTTGTAAAGGCCAAGCATTCCTTCTTTCAGAAATTGTGGTTTCATTCTGCAGGGAAGAAGCCTGCGAGAAAATAAAGCATAAGATTGCATCAAGGTTGAGTTCAGACAAGGTTTGGCTTCCTGTGGTCCTGTCACTAGTTACAAAGTGTAGCCTCCACTTTAAATGCCCATCATAAACGAGGTGACAGCCACTGTGGCAAACCTCCTATTCAGGCTTTGTAGGTTTTATGGACTTCACACATTCATTAGAAAGCAGGGCATCTTGGCTGCTGGTTTGCAGAGACTGTTTCAGGCAGGGCTTTGGGTTAAATTAGGTTCGAATTAGTTTACATGTTCAGTTTAGACTGGGGGCAGCCCTGGATACCTTCATGAGGAAATAAAGTTAGTTCTCTCACATGGAGAGTTAACACAGTATTCTTCCAAAGATGGCTTTTCTACAGTTATACACCAAATCCTGGGGCTCGTTCCCTGAGATCTTGAATCTCAGATCTTGACATTCAGTAATTGATTCCAGGACATGTGTGAGCTTTAAAACTAATTAATAATAAACATAAAATCTTACCAAAGATGTAACTGATCAAATTTGATACTATAGACACATTTTAGATTGGCCTTTGATACATGCTCTTAAATAAGAAGCTTCTCTTTTTCTTGAAGTCTAAGGGTAGACTCCACATTTTGACCATTAAATAGCAGAATCATAGGTCTTTGTATCAATAGCAGAAACCTAGGATTGGTCAAAGAGTGTGGGCAGCCTCAGAAAGGATCATGTCCCTGCCTCTGCACCCTTATCAGAGAAGCGTGTGTCATGTTACCAAAGTGTTTTCCAGTCTGAGAGCATTTAGAGAAGACCAAAGGTTTTTCATAGTGTTAGTGGACTGAGAGTACTGACCAGTAACTGAGTAGTTAAACATGCAGTTATGTTAGCAGTGCAAATGACTGGAGTTTGCTAACTATAGAAATAAGCCCTCATGACCATAAGTAACATCAGAATTTCCCAGTGAACTTCTTATCCTATAATTCTCCAAGCTGGGCTTTGTTACCAAGCAGATTTGGGGCAAACTGAGTAACATCTACCTCTCTTGAAGGTTTAGATTATGTAAGTTTTAAAAGCCCTGGTAAATCCTGTACAAAGTAATCTTATTTCCCTATGTTTAACTTGGTATATGTCTCTAATATTTCTATGTGGAGGTTTCTGAGTAATATTTAATAGCATCATATAGAGCTTGTCCTACATTCAATAAATCTTGGACTAGCAAATTATGTGGAGAAATAGTCACTTCAAAATTTATATTTTCTTTATCAAAAATTAAAAAGTTAAACAATTATTACTGCTTCAGTTATCATACTGTATCAGAATTAAGGTTGGCACTTTGGAAAAAAGAAAGTATACTTGTATAAGACATGAATTGTGCCATTACTAGGCTAATAACTCGGTTAGGAATAGCCTTCTAGCATGCATAAAACAATGTCAAACATTACTCAGTGTAATTAGATCTTCACTGATTTCTTGTAAGGGCTTAGCTAAATAATGCAGACCAATCAATAGAGTAGCTGTGAAGAAGATTAACCATTGGAATAATTACAGAAGAAATTTTGGAAGACTTAGGACTTATTTTGGGGACAGCAAAAAAAGTTTGAAAGATTGAAGACACTTTTGATTGAGGGCAAGAATATATAACTTGTGGGACCTCACTGCTCCTATAAGCAGGAAACAAGGCCACAAATAGTATATCGGTATATTTGAATCGTTTAATTCTGACATATATTCAGGCCTGCACACCAGGAATCAGAACATTACAGAAGTGTAGTTCTCCTTTGTTTGCCATGTACTTCTACTAGAGTTCTTCCTACCTGGTCATCATAGTGAGTAGGTTAATCATCTCATCTCTGACAGCCTCATTGTAGCAGAGACGGTATTTATTTTCACATACTTAAAAACTGGTATCTTCATCTAGAGCCTTTTGTTCATGGGAGGTCATCGTTGGATACTTGTTGACTATCAATAAAAATTATAAGGCTTAAAATTGTCTACAGCAAAATGGAATTTGCATCACAAAATTCTGTATAGACTGAGCAGAGTTCAAAGGCCTAAGCCCTGCACACCAGACTGAAGTGGAGGAAAGAGGAGTGGAGATTTTTAACAAAAGCACATAGAACTCCTGGAAGCCCTAATTATGATAAAACAAACTGGCAGTGATGTATAAGTTGGTGCAAAGCAACGATGAATCACTGATCAATTGAAGTTACAGTCTCATTTTGATGGGGTGAGGCTCTACAACCAAATTTGAAATATTAAGAATGTAGAGATGAAAAGCACAAGTGGTATGATCTCTATATATGGCTGCTAAATAATTGAGAAGAACTTGAGTCAAAGATTATTTTAGTCTAATAGTCATATGGAAAATGTGTTGAATGATTGTTACAAGGGGCACGTGGCACTTTAGTGTCATTGCCCATTCAATCTCATTTACTCCCCACCACTCTGTGAGTTGGTAATGATTATCAGATCAATTTCACTGAGGAAATCAGAAGTTTAGAAATTTCCTCCTAGTCACACTGTTATAAGCAAGTGGCTGAGATGACTGAGTTAGCTCTGCAAAACTCAAGGGCCAATGCTATTAACCATGGTGAACCCTTGATGCAGAACGAATGCTTGTCCTTTTGACAGACAGAAATGTCAGATGAAGAGATTGGTTTTGGCTATTTTAATCTTGAGAGGATCATGAACCATGTCATCAGAAAAGATAAGCATTGTCTTTGTAATAGCTTGAAGTTTGATTTAGAAAATGACAAATTTTTCAAACAGTCTAATAATGTATTGCTTAAACACAGCCACACAAGTCGTGGGGGAAGAGACCTTCCCTGGGGGAATACAGGCTATGGGGGGCCAAAAATGCCTATGCAATGACACCAAGCCCATGGCCTGGGGTTGCTACCCACAGACATGTGACTGCCTGCTAAGAACACCGTGACATTCAGGGGTAGACGGACTGACCCCAGTGCTTGTAAACCCTGAAAAGTGAATGACTTGACCGCCCAGGGTTCTGAGGGTCACACAAAGCCTGTGATGTGCTTGTCTTCCTTTTCTCCCCAAGTCTCTGAGTCGGAGGAGCTGGCTGGCTGGAAACCACACACGCAGCTCACGGAGATTAAATGCAGTGTGCTGATTATTGGGTTGTTTTTTAAAAAAATAATTTTGTTTCGTATCTTCAGGAAAGTCTGTTTGCTTTTTCCGTGGTCACATTTAGACTCTGTAGTGAGTTAAATGCCAGTGAGAAGAAAGTTTGCAAAAAGCATAGCCACGCGCAATCACACAGTGAATTCATGTGCCGTTTTGAAAAAGAGCAGTTTGGAAGAAAGAAAACACTTGTGCCAGGACTATCAGTTTGCAATTATTGCTGATGTTTGATTTGTCTTTATTGCTTTTATTTTTCTTTGAAGAGAGTGTTTTGGGAAAATCCATTGTAGACGTGATCATGGAATCATATAATTTGATTTTATATCATTAATGTGCATGTTATCGGGATTGGATATGATAGTCCTCAAGCTTTCAATTGTTTGGAATTATCAATTATTTTATGCTTAAGAAAATGAAGGAAACCAAAACAAAGGAAAAGTCTCTAAATGGCTTCAGGGTCACTGTGGTTCTTTAAGGCTGCAAAACCCTACTGCTCCTGAAGAGCACTTGTGATCCAGCTTTTACTGTAGACTCCTGCCTCATTAGAGAAGAGCGTTCAGGGCAGGCCACTACGATGGGGTTCAGCATGACCCACTGAGCACACTGGACACGCTCACCCACATGGACATGTGTCTTTGGCATAAATCTTTTAAAAACTTTCATTTTTAATTGAGTGCCAATTAATCAAACCAATATATGAGAATTAAAAGTTACAATGAAAGAGTAGCAGTAAATGTTTAGAGAGATAAAAATAACACAATAGAGTAAAGCAATATTTTAGAACCCTAAGGTAAACAAAAACTAACAAATATAGAAGAATATATATGTATATATATATACACACACACACTCGGTACATACTATTATTAAATTCTTCAGTTAGGGAATAATATTGGCATACTGAAATACAGATTCCTATGTACAGGAGAAAATCTTGAATGTGCACTTTATAAAAGTCATTCTTGATAATAAAATTTGTACTCAAGTTCTAAAAAATTTGTGTTGAACTTCTTGTACAGTGTTTCTAAATCTTTCTAATTAGAAAAATCTGTTTGATAGCTCTCTCCTTCTTCTTTTCTCCTTTTCTCCAAGTTCATCTCTTCCCGTTGGCTAATCACTTACCTTCAAACCACCACAGTTTACAGGCGTTCCATTGCAGGACTATGGTATATTCAGGCTCGACATTACATTGTCTGTCTCTAGAAAATTTGTGCAAACATTAAAGACTATGATCCCTGTGGGATAATAAAATTTGAGGGAAGGGATTTATCAATTCAAATATATTTTTAAAGGACACATAGAATCAAAATTTGGAGGCATTCCTTTCCAGGATAGAATTAGCATGTACTCAAGAAACATTTCTTTTATGTCTTCAGCTCTTTGGACCATTTATATTATAATTATGTCTTTGCTTATCATATAGCACCCAACTCGTGGCAGAGATTTAACCAAGAATTTCTGCCTTGAGATAGACTAAACAAACACAAAACATTGCAAGCAGAAATTGAAAATCTCTCATGCTTTGTAAGTATAACAGGTACATACATTATAAATATGGCAGTAAAGATGTTAAAGCAATGCACAGTTAGATTTTGACATAAGTACTAAAAATTAGTTCAGTGAAAATCACTGTACGTTTATTTACTTGGAACCTTGGCTTTTTGCATTTTCTAATGTCTTTTCTTTTTAGTTTTGTGAGGTAAAGTGATACCTCATGAAATCTCTCTTTTCAGCATACAATGCACATCCCACAAACACGCTGTCACACACACAGAGTCAAAGTCAACGGCAGTGGGTGGTGTGTCAGGCCTGGATTTGATGCCCCTCTCCCAGAATAAGATAAATGTAAGTGGTGAAAACTCCTGGGGTCTGCCGGGCTC